ATTGACTATTAAACTCAAAATAAAAAGAGGGGAAATAAGTTCTAACAATTTTTATGATATTTGGGGTAAATTTGTGGAATTTGTGTTAGTGAAAGGAAGGGGGGAAAGCCTCTAAAGAATACTCTATACAATTTTGGAGAGGTAGTTCGTAATTAAAATATCATTAAATGGAGTCCAGTGGGTATGGGGTGCATGTTAGAATTTAGTTTATAATAAGCACTATTATTTGTTAAAAAAATTGTTTTTTTGTTGTTGTATATGTTTTTTGGGTTTTTTGTATTAAAAAATAAGAAATTCAAAAAATTAAAGATCAAAGTATGAAAGACAAACAAGATCTAGGAAAATTGGGTCTAGCTACAGAATGGTGGTCAATGCTGATACTAGAATCAAGATATAAAAAGGAGAAAAACATGGCTTGTTGTTTTTTGAGGGGAAAGTCCAGGTGTATGAACTATGAATCTACAGTAATGAGAAAATAATTAAAAATGTATACATATCTATTAGAATATGATTTAGAGGATGAGAGGGTGAAGGAGGTGATGGTAAAATGGGCACAAACCTTTGGGTATAATATTGATATTGATGAATTGACAAAAATGTGGAAAGATAATTACAAAATGATCAAGCCAGTCAAACTTAAAGAAAATATCCTTAAAATGTTTTATAGATGGCACTTTACTCCGGTAAGATTGCCAAAAATATCAGAAGGGATCACTAATGTTTGTTGGAAATGTAAAAAAAATCCAGGGATTTATTACCATATGTGGTGGTCATGCAAAAAAGCAAAAAATGTTTGGTCACAGGTTTGGGAAATGTTACAAGAGATTGTTTTAAACCTGAAATGTTACTGTTGAATATACTGTAATGCCAGAAATTATTGATAAGAAAACAAAATATAGTCTACTGTATATATTAAGTGCAGCTAGGTTACTCTGGGCCCAAAAATGAAAGAATGGAGAGACACCAAGGATGGATGAGCTATTAAAGACGCTACAGTATTATACATTGAAGAACTAGATATGCTTTCAGAGACACTATGGGATCAACCAAGAGACTTTGTAAAGGAAAGCTGGAAGCTGACATATAATTGGGCCTAGAAAAAGACAGGAACCTAAGGGAAGAATTAGTTTATAGCGAATCAGTGCTCCCTGGAATCCTTTGGTGATATTTAGATGACAAGATGACATGAAATCTCTTATCTATAGGGGTAGTATGGATGTTTAGTTTTGATATTTTTTGTTTATTATTGTTAGATTTTTAGTGTTTTTAGTTTTGTATGGTAGGTATGTATGAATAAAATATTTTTTAAAAAATGATTTGTGTTCTAAAACTTGTACATATTTGAGAAAGAAAATTGAAGACTGTTCTTATTACTTGTTCTCTCTGTTTTTTAAAATAAATTTTTAACAATTTCAGTTTTTGTCCTTTCTGTTTTTCTTACAATTTGTTTCTGAAAATTGGTTTGGGGGGGGCGCAAGTAGTCTTGCCTCGGGTGCAAAAAAAAAGCCTGGCACCGGCCCTGGGTAAACCCTCTCACTTAACACAAAAACCCTATGTATGAGGTTCAGCGTTAAGTCAGAAGCGGCTGGAAAGAAGGTCATGAAAAAGCTATCCCTAGATTAACACACTTTTAAAAATACGTTCTGAAACACAAGGAAAGGTTCGGTAAAATAAAAGGAAAATTACTGCGCGGGGGTTGTGTGTGTGAAAAGGAAGCGTCCTTCCTGGTCGGATCGTCTCTTTCGGACGCGGTGAGAGGAGTGGGAAGTAAAGAGAGGGTGGGATTAGAGGGGGGGGAAGAGAGCGCAGTCCTCCCATCTCGTGTCTGGACAGTTCCTGTTAAGACAAATAAACGTA